GTATATATTATATACCTTTTAGAGAGAGAGAGAAGGCAGATATATATATATATATATGGATATACATATATATGCAGAATATAAAGAAAGAATACACACAGACAAATACCCGATGCTCCTGCTGCTCCAGATGCTGCTGATACTGCTGCTGTGCCTGCTGCTGCTTATCCTGCTGCTGCTGCTGCTGCTGCTGCTGATCTATATATCTATATCAAGATATACTTTAACATATAAATATATATATATATATGCATATGTAGAAGCATATTCTCCTACAAGCCATATGTATAAACAATGTTTATAACTCTATGTATATCTACATCTATATCTATGCATACATATATTATATAACTACGCAGATTATTTAAAATATACATATATATGTATATGCATTCATATACTTAATAACAAAGACAACATATATATATATATACAGCAATACATACTATACACATATTATATGCATAATAAATATAATAGATAATACAATAGAAACACTGACTATATTACATATAATATATATATGTATATATACATATATATATATATATATTATGCTTGCTTGCATACCTCAGCACAACGCTGCGCAACAGCTGCCTGATGTTTGGGGTGTACAGCGCTTAAGACGAATATTAACAAAACAAAGTCGGCTGAGCCTCTTGCTGCTATTGCTTCAGGGACAGCAGCAGCAGTTATATCAAATGCTGCTACTGTACGCAGCTGCCCGCAGCTGTAGTGGTATATCTGTGCCTCCCCCCGAGCCACTGCAGCAGCAGCTGCTGCTGCTGCTGGTGTAGCAGATGCAGCAGCAGGAGCAGCACATGCAGCAGATGCAGCAGACGGCCCTCCCGTTACAATCGATGTAGAAGAATTATCACCTGCAGCGTCGTCTGTTGCTGCATCACAGGCAGCAGCAGCAGCAGCAGCTGCTGCTGCTGCTGCTGCTGCTGCTGCAGCACCCCCGGTTGCGTCTGCAGCAGCAGCACACGCTTCAGCCCCCTTCGGTGAATTAGAATCCTCTGCAGCAGCAGATGCAGCAGTAGCACTGCTAGAAGGAGAAATAGCTTGGGAGCTGCATGCAGCTTGAGGAAGCCGTTGAGATGCCACTGCATCTAGTTCTTCTTCTGCTTGCTGCTGCTGCTGCTGCTGCTGTTGCTGCTGCTGTTGCTGCTGCTGTTCCGCAACAGCAGCAGCCCATCGTTCCTGAAGCATCCGAAAGCAAGACCCACAGCGGATGCACTAAGAGACGCGCATGCATGCACGGGGTGTATGCACACCTCAGCAGCAAACTGCTATTACCTTCAGGATGGCTATTGCTCGAGGCGAACAGTCAAAGGCCGACGCATGCAGTTGGGGGTTCGCTGAGAGTGCGCAGCAGCAGCAAACGACAAAAGAGAAAAAACAATTTAATTAAATGCAGGAAATAATATGAAGTATGAACAAGCAGCACACGGCAGGTGGCAGGTGTACAGACAGCCATGCATGCATGCATGCATGCATGCATGCATGAATATATGCAGAGGCTTCTGCTTACCTAGTAGAATCGGGATGAGGGCATTGCCAACACCGCAGCCGACGTCAACGAGAAGAGGAGCAGCAGCGGCAGCAGCAGCAGGAGAGTTGCTGCTGCTCCCATTTGCATGCGTTTTGCTGCTGCAGAGTGCAGCGATCTCAGGGATCTCCTTGGCTAGCCAGGCTCTGTCTTTAAAGAAGTGGTCGGTGTTGCGCTGGAGTAAAGAGACAGAAAAAACAAAGAAAAATGCATAAAATAAGTGAGAGAAGATAGCAAGATGATTTCAGGTGTATGCACAACTCGAAGCAAACTCAAAACCCACCTTGTAAAACAAATCCCAGTGCCGCACGGCGTTCTCTAGGAGTTTAACTGAATAAAAAGAAAAAGATAATGTCTTTAAAAGCAAACAATTAATATAATATATATATATATATTGTTGTTGATATATACTTGTAGTATGAAATAACAAATTGTAGGTTGTTTGCGTTTATAATTAAATTATAAATGGCTGTTTACTAACATTTACTAAAATACCGATAAATTGATATTTATTTACATTAAATATATAATAATAATAATAATAATAATAAGAGGTAATTGATTGAAATATTAAAATGCATCCTACTACGCACAATAATATATCTTATATAAGAAAAAGAAAAGCTAAGCAAACAATAATATATCTTATCTAATTGAATAAGAAGAGCTAAATAACACACTCTTATCCACCGTACCTTTTTGCTGCTCCGTCATTTCTTCTTTATTCGTCTCCAACACTTTTGCCTTCTCCGCCAGCGCCTCTTCGCTGAGGGAGAACTTGCGCACTGCATGCAAAGATAAAATAAATAATATAAATATAATATGAAAGACCCTCTTACTGTCAGGTGTTTGTTTAGGGTTTAGGAGTTATTACTGCACTGACATGCGCCTCACACTCGCCTATTCTCTCTCTTCATTTTATTCAAAAGAAAACAAACCTGTGTCGGTATCATAGAACTCAGAAGGGCCTTCGGTTTCCTCCATTGTTGCAGCAATAGCAGCTGTAATGGGGTGTACATACACCGCTAAACATCCAGCAAAGTTGTGCGCTGAAACAGATTTCGTTCAAACGCCTCGCCGTCGACAGCCGTGCGTGAAATCGTTTTAATATGATCTTTCTTCTGCTCTAATAAAAAGAGTTATTATTGCAATAAGAGGCTATTCCCTCATATCAAGGCTGCGCTGTATATACACTTCAGTTCAAAAGGCAATAAATTCAATGAAAAAGGCCAGGGAATTCACCCCTGAAATTCATAGACAAACGACTGCACACCGTCATATGTGGCTGGGAAATAGCATAAAATGAAGAAGAAGAAACAGAAGATACACCGCAGGCATGCACGGGAGATGAATAAAAACAATAAAATCAATGAAATACCTCTCTTCTTTTAGTTAGAACCTTCCTTAGCTGGATCGCGCTGTCTCGGCAGCTCGAGGGCCCCGCACCGAAATCGATCTGCATGCGTTTCAGAAAACTGCAGTAGACAGACAAATAAAGTTCTATCAAGCATGCCTATCTGCTGATTATTATTCATAATTAATTTAAATTATTAAACTCAAAAAGCTCCTCTAAAAGTCTTTTTATTTCATCCACAGCGGCATCACATATCAAGAGGATGCCTCCGCGAAATACTGCTACGGCGTGTTTTGAAACAGCGAAAATGAATAAATAAAAGCTGCAACATTTCGCGTAAATAAACTCGGAAGAACAAAATATAAGCATTTTAGTCCGTTTTCTATTCACGAAAAGTCCGAAATCCAAGGCTTGAATGCACACACTGCAGTGGTTGTACAGCTGAGCAAGATAACGCGATCTGCTGAATACTGTTAGAATCTGCCTTTATTTCGAGTATATTTTAGTAGAGACACGACTATAATATGCTTACTTCCGCTTATATAAGGGAATGCTCCCCATATTCGTTCGACGAAGATACTTCAGCTTCCAGCCATTTCCAGTCTTTTGAAGTATGCAAGTTGTTGTACGTCACCACAGCTGCAGAAACTTGTACAGAAAAACCAATAGCATGCAAAACGGGCCAAAGGGCATCGGCCTAAGCAATGATCGACTGCTTTCTACGCTCTGAGAAACTGCCGCTATGGGGCGACCCGCCTCCCCTTATTGCATTTCTTTTTGCTGCTAAATGCTGGTAAAATTAAAAGTTTCTTTATCGGCATTTGTGATGGCGTGAATTATGAACAAGACAGATTTTTCTCTCCATACATCGCAAGAAAATGCAGGCATTGCTGGAGAGGCAGCGTCAGAAACATCGAATTGCAGCTGCGGTGGGAGGCTCTCTGCTGCAGCGAACACAGCAGCAGCAACAACAGCAGCAAAGCGTCATGCAGCGGTGGCAGTGGGGCGAAACCTATGCGCAGCTTAGACAGCAAGAGCAGAACCTGAACTTCTCTATCTTCGAGCTTCTCTCATATCACAAACTCCTAAACCCCCTCTGTTGCACTTCTGCAGCACCAGCAGCAGAAGCCCCAGCAGAGGCAGCAGCCGATGATGGGGAAAAGACAGCAGCAGGAGCCGCAGCAGATGCAGGAACGGATGATACAGCAGCACAAGCAGCAGCCAACATAGACGTAGCATCGAATGGTGCTGCAACAGAAACGCTAGAAGAAGCAACAAAACAAGAGGAGGCAGCACATTCAGAAGCAGCAGCAACAGACGCAGCAGCAGCAAAAGCCCCAGCAGAAGCAGCAGCAGCAACCGGCGTTTCACTTCATTCAAAAAGCAGTAGCCCCACCCCCCCTCCGTGTTTTGCTGCTGCTCAGCCATTTGGACGTTTTGCCGGTTTGCTGCGTAGCACATCTCAGCTGCTGCAGCTGCTGCAGCACTCAGCAAAGGGGGGGGCTGCTTCCGTCACCTGTTCAGAAGAGGAGCAGCACCCCGAAGCAGAAAGCTGCTGCAGCACTGAAAGACCCCAGCAGCATCAGCAGCAACAGCAGCAGCAGCCCTTCCTCATGGCAAGCTGTTTGTTTCAATCAGCAGCAGCAGCTCTAAAGCAGGAGGCAGCAGCATTAGAGCAACGCGGCGAGGCAGCAGCAGCAGAGACAGCAGCTGCGCTTTCCGCCTTGAAAGATACCAATCTGCTGCCTCAGCTGAATGGGCCGCTGCTGCTCCGCAAGCAACAGCAGCAGCAGCAGCAGCAGCAGCTCGCCGGAGATTCCCACAGTCTAACAGACGCAGAAGATGAGGTGCTCGGAGGAAGGGCCCCACAGGTGCGTGCAGCAGCAGCAGCAGCAGAAGAACTGGCGGTGGTCCTCCGCAGCAACGCATGCACAACCCCGGAGAAGCAGCAACAGCAGCAGCAGCAGCAGCAGCAGCAGCAGCAACAGCAACAGTCGCTGCTGCAGCAATGGCCCAAGCTGCTGGAGGCATACAGTCAAACGCTGCTGCAGTTAGAAGAAGAGGGAACGAAATCCCTCAAGGGCTGGCAGCAGCAGTTGCTGCAGCACAGACGCAACCTGTACAAAGCAGCAGCAGCAGTTGTCTGCAGCAACCGCCACAGAAAACCAACAAACACAAACAGTAGCAGCAGCAGCAGCAGTAGCAATAGCAGCAGCAGCAGCAGCAGCAGCAACAGCAGGAGCAACAGCCAACCTGCAGAGGACAGTACTGATGCTAGCCGCATGCGCACTCAGCCGCAAGGCGTTGCAGCGAAGATGAAGAAGGAAGAAGAAGAGGAGAAAGAGTCAGAGACAGCTCAGCAGACAACAGAGCAACTTAAATATGAAAGTCCCGTCCCCTGCCCTCTCGCTTTAAACTCGAAGACGGAGGAAGGGGGGTGTCCATACACCTCATCGTCTGTTAGCAGCAGCGGGCTGTCGCTGCCAAGGGAGCAACAGCAGCAAAAGCAAGAGCAGCAGAAACAGCAGCAGAAACAGCAGCAGAAACAGCAGCAGGAACAGATGCCTGAGCAGCTGCAGGAACGGCAGCACCAGCAAGAGGATCCGCATCAGCAGGAACAGCAACAGCAGCAGCAGCAGCAGCAGGAACAGCAGCAACAGCAGCAACAGCAGGAACAGCAGCAACAGCAGGAACAGCAGCAGGAGCAGCAGGAGGAACAGCCACAGGAACAGCAGGAACAGCAGCAGGACCAGCAGCAAGAACAGCAGCAGGAACAGCAGGAGCAAGGAAACTGTGTGGAGTTAGATTATTCTCGGGAGGAAGTATTGGGTGTTCTTGTGACGGTGCGCTGGCTGTGCTCCTCTGACTTGAGTTGCATGCAGTTTGAGTGTCTGTACAGCCGACTGCAGCGAGCGTTTCCCTTTGCTGAAGAGAAGGTGCTGCGGTGTTTGCTGCGGGCGCAGCAGCAGCTAAACCTCAGCAGCCAGCGGCACTTCACTTGCATTCGTCTCTGGACAGGGGCGAGGCAGCAGCAGCTGGCTCGTGTGCTGCAGCAGCTAAATGCTGCTGCGCTGCGCTGCAGGGAAGCAGCAGCCAACTACCGCAGGAAGCAAACTCTGACTGATAAGCGCATGCGGCTGCAGCAGCAGCTGCAGCGGCAGAGGCGGAGAAAGGAAGAAGAAATGCAGCTGCAACAGGCGGCTGAAGAAGCAGCGCGAGAGGCCCAGGTGTCTAGACAGCTCAAAATGACGTTGAAGGAAAAAGAAAGAAGAGAAAAAGACAAAAAAGACATCCATGAATTTAGGAAACGAAAAGAGCTCGAGGCGCAGCGGCAGCAGCAACAATTAGCAGCAGCAAAAGAAGCAGCAGCAGAACCCCTGCACATCAAATTGCTGCGAGAGGCCCGTGTGGTTCGGCGGCAGGAGCAGCACAAGCTGCGGCTGCTGCGGCAGCAGCAAGAAAGACAGGAACGGCAGCAGCAGGAGGATCTGCTGCAGCAGCGGCTGATGGAAGCTGCAGCACGACTGAAGCCAGTGATAGAGAAAGACCCCTTGCGTCTGTGGCGGCCAACTGCTTCCTCTCACATCTATTCCGAGCTAAGGCGACAGCAGCAGCAGCAGCAGCAGCAACAGCAGCAGCAGCTGCAGAGGCTAAGCAGCTTCGGGGTAGAACACTCCTTCAGCAGCGCCGCCCTTATGAAAGATATTCGTTATAGACTCAGCGAAGCTCTGGCTGCCTGCCACCTCACGTCTTCAGCTGCTGCACAGGATTTGTTGATTGAACTAAGTCAAGGAGAGGGAAGAACAAATAATATATTCCTTGCTTAAGATGGTCTTCGTCTCTCCTATTTTTATTATTTAATTTATCACGTGCTCTTCTTCTACTGTACAACAATATTTAACCCGGCGCTGCAGCAGCAGAGACCTCAGAAAAGAAGCTAACTTCATTGCAGGTATTATTAACCGTCTGCTTTTGATGTTTACCTAAACAAGAAAATGCCCTATTGGCTGGCGTGAACTCCACGTACACCCCAACATTCTCCAACCCCTTCGCTGAGCTGAGACCCGTAGCAACAAATCTCTTTGCAGCAGCAGCAGCAGCAGCAGCAGCAGCAGCTCTTTTTGCTGCCTGAGGATGTTGGCTGGAGAGGGACGCGCCTCGCATCATTGACTTGGTGGCTTGCGTTTGCATGCACAGCAAATGTAGTATACTGTGGAGATTTGCTTGGGGTTTAAGCGGCAAAATAAAAGAATAGAGACAAGAAGACTTAAGCAAATAAACTAAAGCCTAAAAAGAAGGGTCGCAGGGGCCCGCTGCTGCTGCCGCCCCGATGAAATGCAGCAGAGCGGCTACTCGCTGCAGCTGCTACGCCGTGTGGCTGTGCAGGCGCAGAGCAGCAGCAGCAGCAACCGCAGCAGCAGCAGACGCCACCGCAACAGGAGCCGGAGCAGCTATTGCAGCAGCTATCGCAGCAGCAGCGGCAGCAGCCGCGTTAGCAGCAGCCGCAGCCACAGCAGCGAGAGCCGCAGCATGAACGGCAGCAGTTATTTGTTTTTGTATAATAAAGAAATGCTTTAGGCGCAGCAATTAAGACAGGCCTGTGCTTGCTGTGCTGCAGCAGCGATGTCTATCTCTCCATCAGCATTAACTACAGCAGGCCCATAGTAAGCCATTGCATTTCTAGATTTATAATATTCATTGCGCATTGCTGATTGCGTAAGACGTACATCAAAGCGATGACTAACAGGCTCAAAGAACAAAGACCATAGAAACATTACTCCTAAAGACACCCCTAACATCACGGTGTACATTGCATCCCAAACAGGGAAGGAGGAATGCCCCCAAGTAGCCAACGCCACGACTTCTGCAGCAAACAAACAAAACAAACAAATAAAACAAACAAAAACAAATGCATTAATTCAAGCACAATACCTTTCAGAAAGGCGTAGAGTGTACTCGCATGCAAACACAAGGAGACAAGAGAAAAAGAACAAGAAGAAGAAAGAATATATGAATACGAATAAGAAAAAGAAGAAGTAAGAGAAAATGAAAGAAAAGCAAGAAAATAAGGATAAGATTATGTGATGCTCTCACCTGTAAGTGCTGTCAATTTAAAGCAAATAGCCCCAAGCCATCCCCAGGCCTCTCCAGCACCTTCTGAGTGATAGGTTTCAAGGAAGAAGAAAGCTCTGCAGCAGAAACAACAGGGAAAAAACAAATAAATACTTAAATAATAAAGACTGTGGGAGCTTTGTACGTACACCACAGCGCGGTGGAGAGCAGAAGGGCAGCTGAACAAGAAGCAGACTTAAAATAAAATAACAAGAAATTCTTCTTCTTACCCTGCAAAGAGGAACATGGCAATAGCGTCACAGAGACGCGCACTGAAGAAGATCAGCCAAGAAGAGCCTCCCCCTAAATTCTTGTTTAGCCAGAGATCATCGAAGTAATAATTTGCCGAGTACACCACCAACAAACTCAATGTTGCAGACACTACGCCGAAAGAAGAAGCCTGCTGAAGGAACTTGCTGCCGCTCCTGTACCCTCGAGACTGCTTGATGCTGCAAACCACGTACATACACAAGAAGCCGTCCTACTTTATCTTTATATATATATATATATATATATATATATATTTACACTGGCGGCGAGGAGTCTATACTGCAGCACAGCAGCATCTCGGTGTCAGAGGCAAATGCATTTGTTGTTTTCTCTTGAGACGAAATGAAGAAGAGCGGACCTGCTGTCGTCATCGGTGAGAGATTGGAAGGCCAAGACGATCAAATAACCCAAAATGAAGAGCCCACAGCCAACCTGAGCAGCCCATAGGGGGCATTTGCCTGCAACACGGCGCATTGTACACTTCAAATATCTTTATTTCTGGAGTCTATTCTCAAGTCGGCGGAGGAAAAGAAACAGCAAGGAGGGCGTCTTGAACAGGAAAGAGATCCTGGATAGGGTAGAAGGAGCTCCAGAAGACAAAGGCATCGCTACTGTGGAAGAGAACTCACCAGCAGACTCAGGGGCAGCCCGAAGAACATTTAAAAGAGCCAAGGGGTCGTTCATCCCTGCAGAGACGGTCATCAGGAGGCAAATGTATGCCCCAAGCAATGTGAATAGCCCCAGGCGAAGGCTGTAGTTCGCGACGAAACTCCAGAAAGGCTCAAACTGAGGGCCCCGGCCCTCAGGTGCCTCTCCCGGCCTCACGACGTATGTGAAAAACATCTTTATTCAAAATTAAAAACAAAGAAAAGAAATATGCAAGACAGGGAGCCGCCACGTTCGATGCTTTGGGGGCTTCGCCCGAGTCCTGAGCACCAATGGGCAGCCAGCGACACGCGAAGGAAAGCAGACAGAGTCAAAAATGGTTTTTAGGATTCTTTTTTCTAAAAAGAAAGATGGTGAAATTCAAAAGAGAAATAAATATACCGGAGAACGGACAGCGTTCAAACGACGATGCCCTTTGCACACGCTCAGCAGATCACGGCCGACTAGCGAAGACGCTTCCAGCAGTCTTTAAGCCTCGTTCAAGCAGAAACCTTCTCATGAATGAGATTCTTTTTATTCTGTTTTATTTTATTAAAACCCAATCAACTTTATTCAATATTCAGGGGAAATTTGGTGCACTAAGGCGTTAGATACAACCATACTCCTGAAACCTGAACAGGAGCCCTCGCCGGCATCCCCGGCGTTCCCGGTTTGATCACTGCACTCGACGGGTGAAAGAGAAATTCCCATGGCTAGTTACAAAGTAAAATTAAAAGGAATTTTTAATATTGATGTATTTGAAAGTTTTTGAAAGATTTTTTTGGGGTTTCGCAGCTAACACCGCCACATATTATTCCCCTGCACTGCGCGCGCCTACACGGGATCGCGCCTCAGATTATGCAGCAGTGGAAACACAGATGAAGCCTCTCTAAGAAGTAGATGCATTCGTGCATATTCATATGTATATTTAGATATGCATTCAGAGTGAAGAGACTGGGAAAGGACAGCGTGAATACGCAGAGAAAAATTGCCTCCTCCTCACCTTAATACCCTCTCTTAGGTGTAAGGAGAGCGGGCGGTCGTGCTCAAAGGCAGCCGTAAGTTGCAACTTATCCATAAAAACAAAAATTGGCAGACTTCCCCTATTCCCCCAGGCGTTCTGAGTACAGCTTCCACTGGCATGAAGCTGATGTAGAGAGGAGGTGGCCAGTCATGAGCACCACCCTCAATGCAACTAATGTTGCAAGGCCCCCCCAAGTGCAAACACAACTAATCCCCCTCTTCTGCACGCAGAAACACTGTAGACAGTTGTTAAGCACGTAGTTTAACGGGAGTAGCGAAGCTGAACTCCAGTAGAGATGCACGTACATCTTCATAATGGTACACGATGCTAAGCTAAGCGTAGGCGCCGATCTCTTATCATCAGAAATGTGAAGTCTAAAGCTTGCAGGAGGTGCGAGGCGGCCGGAGAATAGGTGAGGCACATTGATAATATCAAAAATATATTTTATTTTTGTTGAGCTCGAATGATTTCTTCGTTATTCGCTGCATCTCGCTGCCCCTCTTCAGCTTGCGCACAAGCGGGAAGTAAAGCAATTTTACTCTTGTTCTTTTTCAAGCTTTTTGCACAATATTTCTGAGTGAATTTTGGCTGTGGCCGGAAATAACCCTCACAATGCAGTGCAGCGTGATGCCTCCAGCCGGAAGAAGCTATCAGGATTGCCGGCAGAATATTATGATATAATATATATATATGTATATATATATATATTATATGAAATATAATGTAAGTTTATGACAGTACATCAGAATATTATCACAGCATTGAAGAACAAACTTTCGTGCCGTTTGCTGTTTCCGTTTCGAGGGGCAGCCACGCACGAAAGTCGGTTGGTCATTTCTGAAATACCATCTAGCGAAAAATACCAATACATCTGTATATTTAATTCTTTTGAATGCATTCTTTGGCTATAACGGAGTTATATTTGGAGCTGCTGCACCCAAGACTGGCCAGAAGGAATTTATATATGCATAACGAAAGCAATGCAAAGAAACAGCTGGGTGCGAGGAACAGCTGCAGAAGATTGTCTGAAGAGCAAAAAACTATTATATATTTGTTGTTTTTGTTTCAATGACCAATTGTATTTGGTCTTGTCTTGTTATATACTTCTCTATGTTGCTGTTCGTTGCTTTCTCTGCGTTCCTCCTACAAAGCAAATATCTCACGAATGGTAATAAACATACTGCTGCATTAGAAATGTATTTTTAACTTTATTTTCACTTCATAATTCAGAAAATTCTAATCTACGCGCTCTTCAAAGTGTAATGGCTCTTAAGGCAACCCAACAGAAATCAACAGGAATAAACCGTCCAATGATTATATTCTGTTTTCTATCTTTTTTTGTTTACATCATATTTTATTTGAAAGACTGGCTAATTCCGCCGACAATTACATCAAGGTTCGCAGTATACACAAAAAAATATTCTTTCTATTGCTGAATGAGTAGGCAGCCAGAAAGACGAGTCAAAAATTGTTTTCAGGCATCTAAAACATCCTTATGTCAATGTTGTTGTGAATATGTGGAGTTCTCTTTTATTATATCGCAGCCATTTCTTTCGGATATACACAGAGAAAGCTACAAGAGATAGAATGCGTCGAATTCGAAAAGATATACTTTTCTTCTCGTTCCCCCAATAATTTGTAAGATAAAATATTCGATAAATGATAATTTGAAGCTGCCGGGAATTCATCGTTCTTGTGCATTGCAAATTCAGATTACTAATTTCTTCAGAATGGATGAATACAACATGACGAAGAAGGCAACGCGGATCTTCAAAGGCATTGAAATCATCTGTTAATTTTTTCTTATATCTCAAATAAGTTATTGCCTGCGGCATTTTTTCATTAATAATTTGCTTCCTACAGCAGAAACCCTTTGGATGCATTATTGCGGTAAGCATGAACGAAAAGCTTCCACTCAGACAGCGCATTTCTTGCATTGCTTTTGCTCTGCATTCATGTCATACGAACAAATTCAAATAAATAGGATATTTAAATACTTTAAAGATGGTTTTGTTTTTTATTTTTGTTTTCTTCAGCCGTTCAAACCATTGCACAGGAACCACCGACCGGTGGTCGGCAGAGCGTGCGCGGTTCATCCTGAGGTGGAACAACGAAGGAAACTCGTTTTATTACCTTTAAAAACCCTTAATTTTGTTTACAATTTAAAAATAGATTGAAATTAGGCAGCCATTTCCTCCTTCAGGTCTACGCTGGGCTGAAACTCGGCCGCCCTCGAATGCGGGAGGACCCAGCCGATGAGTTCCGGCCTGCCCACCTCAGAAGATCTGCGGTGATTTATAATATTTTTGCCTTATTTATTTTGAAAATGTAATTAATTTTATTATTATTTTAATTATTATTTAATTTATTCTGAAGTTTCCTCGGGGATTGAAGCTGCAGACGCTGCTGACTACACGGCATCCGTTGCAAAGTTTTCAGTGTTGTCTCTCAAGGCGCAAGCATCGCTGAAGGTTGCGGCTGTTTCTCTGGGTTTTCTAGTGAATATTATTCATAGAATAAAATGTATTAAGAGATTAAAGCCTTTAAAGGGCAAGCATTAGACAGGCCTGGGGCTTGAAGGAGATTAATTATAATCGGCCACCAGTGGTGCGCGGCGCCTACTGTACACGACCCAACGTTCACATTAACGGAAACTTGAGATACCAAGGCAAGTTTCATTAAATTTACGAGCTAATAGGTTATTTTATTCAAATTAAATTATGAAATAAACATTTGGAAGCCGCTGTTGCATTTCAATAATGGCTGCACACCACAGCAACCTGCTGAGCTGTGTTTCTCATTCGCATGTTTACGGTAGCCGCAGCCCCTCTTTCATTGTTTTCTTCAGCATTTTGAAGGAATTTTTCATCCTATTCAATATTATTTGATTTTTATTGTTTAATATTATTTGATCTTCCTTGAAAAGCTCCGAGTTATCGGCACACACATGAGACTCTCCCGCCGCGGCGCCCTGCCCGCGATCAGCAGGAGGGTAAACGGCTCACTGTCCTCTTTGTCTTGAATTAAATGCATTACTGTTATTATTTCTTTTATATAATTTCTATTTTAGCCTGTCAATCTCGCTGAAACAACTCCTTCCTTGGGCTTCAGCAGACCAACGCCCGCCTGGAGGCCCTCCGCTGCAGCGGGATAAATCGCTTATCGTCGCCTTCTTCTCATGTTTGTAGACATTTCAATCCAGTAGTTATTCTATTTAATAGTTATTTTCTGCCTGCAGTTTAGCTGGCAGGCAGTGGGTGAGCACGGGGAGCGAGCTGAGGTGTACGTACACCCCAACAAACACAATACGAAATGGATCTTTCCTGGGGCGCCCATTCCTCCCATAAACGCGGAGAAGGCCGTAGAAGCCGCCGCAGCAAACATAGAGGGGGAGATGATGTGGTGGGGGAGCAGCATGACGTTTCTATGACGGGGTTCTTATCTGGTTTAAGGAAGACGCTCCTTAACCCGGATGGCGGTGGTGGAGCAGCAGCAGCAGCAGCAGCAGAAGCAGAACTAGCTTCGCTTCCACAAGATCAGCGTGAATATCGTGAGGCTGAGGAATACTACTTGCCGCAGTCTCGACAGGCATTGCATGACCATTGGAAGCAGCAGCTGGCGCAGCAGGAGTTGCAGTTGCAGCGCCGCAGTCGCATGCTGCAGCAGGAGCAGGAATACTTGCAGCAGCAGCAGCAGCAGGGTTGGGATATGCAATCATGTCTCGTAGAAGAGCAGCACAAGTGGCATCGCCGCGTGCAGTACGGCGGCAGCAGGCTTCCCCCTAAGCCTCAGTGGACGTGCTTAGAGCGACTGCAGCGGACACTATCAGTAGACAGCGGGGAGGAGGAGGAGGAGGAGCAGCAGCAGCAGCATCAGCAGCAGCAGCAAAGGAGTCTTCGAGGAGAAACTGCAGAGCAAGCTACTGGCTTTGCTGCTGGGGGCCGCAATTCAAAGCGCCGGGGCCCCTCCCATCTCCCTCAGCTGCATGCAGCGTGGGGAGCAGAGGGCGGCGACGCAGACCTTGCAGCAGCAGCAGCAGCAGCAGCAGCAGAAGAGGAAGAAGTATTCATCGGCCAGTACGATCACGTCAGTCCTGTTGCTTCACCCCGTTTCGGCAGGGTGGACGTACACCCGGAGGCTGCTGCTGTTGCAACACAGGAGCACAGCAGCAGACACACAACAGCAGCAGCAGCTGCTGCTGCTAGATACCCGCATCCATTTCAAGAAATCCCCCCTATGCAGCTGCCACCCGCCTACGCTGCAGCAGACGCAGCTGCAGCATCATATATCCCTAAGCTAAAAACCAAGCACAGCAGCAGCAGCAGCAGCAGCAGCAGCAAAAGCAGCCGGCGCCACCACCGCCGTTCGAATCGTCATCACCATTATGAGCAGCAGGAGCAAGACCTGCAGCAGCTGCTGCAGCAGGCGCAGCAGCAGCAGCAAGAAGAGGAGGGTGGCTATGCTTTGGGGGCTTCTGCAATTTCTTTTGGGTCTCCTGGGAGGCGGGGGAGAGCTGCTGCTGCACGCGCTGCTGGAGACGAAGAGCTGCTGCTGCAGCGTCGAGCTGCTACTGCTGCTTCGCTGCAGCAGCAGCTGGATGAGGGCTGGCGTGAGACGCTGCAGCAGGACCTGCTGCACTTTCAGAGGGAAGTCTTCAGCAGCAGCAGAACAGCAGCAAACAGCAAGAACAACAAACCCAAACATATGCATCTAGAGGGAGAGGGAGACAGGAGACAGCAGCAGATAAACACTGCTCCGCAGCAGCAGCAGCAGCAAAGGCGCAGACCCTCAACACGAACGCCCGCAGCAGCAGAAGCAGAAGCAGCAGCAGCAGCAGCAGAAGCAGCAACAACAGAAGCAACAACAGCAGAATATGACGAAGAACAAGAAGAAGAAGAAGACGGAGAAGAACGTATTGCTGATGATCCAGAAGAGCAGCAGCAGCAGCAGCAGCAACTTGAGGCAGATGCAGCAGCAGAGGAAGCAGCCCTGTTCAACTGGGGAGATGAAGACGCAGCAGCAGAAGCAGCAGCAGCAGCAGCAACAGAAGACGAGCAAGAAGATGAACAAGAAGCACAAGGGCATGAAGAAGACGAAGAAAAAGAGAGAGCAGCAGAGCAGGAAGAAGAAGAAGCGGTAGCAGCAGACTGGGAAGCAGCAGTAGCAGAAGAAGCAGCAGAAGAAGCAGCAGCAGAAGCAGCAGACGAAGAAGCTGAAGAAGAAGCTGAAATAGAGGCGGGAGAAGAAGCAGCAGCAGAAGAAGAAGAAGAAGAAGTAGCAGAAGAAGTAGCAGAAGAAGCAGCAGAAGAAGAAGCAGCAGAAGAAGCAGCAGCAGAGGAAGCAGCAGCAGAGGAAGCAGCAGCAGAAGAAACAGCAGAAGAAGCAGCAGCAGAAGAAGCAGCAGAAGAAGCAGCAGAAGAAGAAGCAGCAGGAAGCTGCAATGAGGAAGAAGAGGGAGGGCCTGAAGAAACGGAGGCAGAAGTTATAGCAGACAACGCCCTACAACTTGAAGCAGAAAGCCCTGCAGCAGAAGCAGCAGCAACAGCAGCAACAGCAGCAGCAACAGCAGCAACAGCAGCAGCAGCGGGAGAAAGCGAATGGAGCCTTGTGGCATACTCTCATTCAGAAGAGGGTGGTAGTGCTGAGGAGACAGTCAGTGAAGAATCTGCTGCTGCTGCTGCTGCTGCTGCTGCTGCTGCTGCTGCAGCAGGGGAGACCGCGAAGCAAAAGGAAGCAACAGCACCGGAAGAGGCAGCGAAGCGAGGAGAAGAGCAACGAGAGCAGCGCGTTGCTTCTGCTGCAGCAGCAGAAGCAGCAGAAAGGCAAATGAAGACGCAAAACAAAACAAAGATAGGAAGAGACAGATTCACTCTAGAGGCAATGAAGACGCTGACAACGGGGCTGCTGCACCAAGGCCTGCAGCAGCAACAGCCCCAGCGGCAGCAGCAGCAGCAGCAGCAGCAGCAGCAGCAGCAACAGCAACAGCAGCAACAGCAGCAGCAGCAACAGCTGCTGCTGCTTCAGGACACGGTCCCTTCTGCTGCAGCAGGTTTGGAAGGAGGCAGCAACTTAAAGGAGACAGAGACAGATCTAATATACGATATGCTTACCCAAAGAGCAAAGCTGCAGCAGCTGCTGTTGCTGCAGACCTCTGGGTGGCGCGCAGCGAGAGTACACCAAGCAGACAGCAGCTTCAGCAGCAGCAACAGCAGCAGCAGCAGCAGCAACAGCAGCAGCAGCAGCAACACATCTCCTCACGTCCACTGGGAGTCTCCGCAGACCTCAGAAAACTCCTTCTTTGGGACCCCTCGAGGTGTGGGGGCGGCATGGCAGCAGCAGCAGCAGCAGCAGCAGCAGCAGCAGCAGCAGGCAGCAGCACCTGCAAGCACTGAGGCAGCAGCTTTGCTGTCTCGCAGCAGCAACTCCCCCGCAAGCAGTAACGCTGAAGGAGACTCCAAAAGCAGCAGCAGCAGCTGCAGCTCCGCTACTAACGAAACAGAGGAAAGGCATGTGGCAGCAACAGCAGCAGCAGCAGTAGCAGCAGCAGCAGTAGCAGCAGCAGCAGTAGCAGCAGGTGCAGGCCTTTCGCCTATCAAAAAGGAAGCAGAGCCAGACCTCCAGGCTGCAGCTGCACTTAACAAAAGCGAAGCAGCAACAGCAGCAGCAGCAGCAGCAACACAAGCCGGTGAGCACTATGCCTCCTTTAGAGACACCGCAGAGATATCTTTTGCTGCAGCTGCTGCAGCAGAGCTGCCGCCAACAGACAGCGAAGCAGATCTGGCGTACTGCTGCAGTCCTTCTTCAGAATTGAGAGAAGAAGAACAGTCGGTTAGAAGCGATGCTTCTGCAGCAGCAGCAGAAGCAGAAGCAGAAGCAGAACCAGCTGCCGCAGCAGCAGAAACAGACGCTGCAGCAGCAGAAACAGCTGCTGCTGCGGAAGCCACCGCTGCAGCAAAAGCTGCAGCGGCTGCCGCCACCACAGCTGAGGCGGCTGCTCTAGAAGCAGCTCGAGCAGCAGCAGCAGCAACAGCAGCCCTGGCAGCTCACACTGCAGCAGCAGCAGCACCAGCAGCAACAACAGCAGCAGCAGCAAATGAAGATCAAACTGCAGCAACCGAAACTCTAAACAATTTGAAGCTGCTCATCAGCCCTAGAGAATTCGAGTTAGAGCGGGTGCGGCGAAGCAGCGAAAACAAGGGTGGTGCTGCTGCTGCAGCACGGTCTGCTGCTGCTGCTGCTGCAGAAGCAGCAGCAGCAGCAGCAGCAGCAAAAGGCTCCTACTTCACCTCCGAAGCTGGTAGTAGCGTTGCTGCTTCCGCTGCTCGGCAGCAGCCTCTGCCCACTCCACCTCCCGCCAGATCGATCCTGCGCATCCAACGGCCAGCAGCAGCAGCAGCAGCAGCAGCAAGAGCAGCGGCAGCAGCAGCAGCAGCAAGAGCAGCAGCAGCAGCAGCAGCAAAGTCAGACTCACTTGAGGCCGACACCGGACTGCAGCGAGGCTCGCAGATTTCAACAGTTGAAAGCTGCAGCGAACAGCTGCAGC